TTCCGCTCCCACTCTCTGGTACTCCATCCCAGAGTACCCTTCGCCTCACCCTTTCCCTTGTCTCCTTCAAGACCTGTCTCAAGACCTTCCTTTTTGATCTCACCTTCAGTCATCTCTCCACCCCACCACCCCTTTTGCGCTCCACCCCTCCGAACTGCAAACCCTCAACGGTTCAATGCCTTAGGATGTTCTAACAACATGAAAAGGTCTGTATAAACGCACCTTATTGTTGTTATCTTATATGGTGAGGTTAACGTATCCAATTAATTGCTGTGAAATCTGTCCTGTTTTCCTGTAACTTTGGAGATGGAGGATATACGAGCTATTTGCTGGTTTGTAGATAGATTAATTAACAAAGGTCAAGTGGTTAATTCACGGTGAGTGTAAATTATTATTATTTCTTCTAAAATATGATTAAACGACTCAGTTACAGTTAATGGCCACATGGGTTTGCAGATATACTTGTTAGCAAGCATTGGATTTGGCAATGAGCTACCTTTGTTTCATTATGGAGATATAAATCATCAGGTTCCAAGACAATTTCCTCAATCCAAGAGTTTAATGTCAAAGCTAATGTGGCAAAGATGAAGCAATTAACTTTGTATCATGTCGCTTTGTTTTTACTCAGTTTGATATATTATTTATGAGCATTTCTGAGAATAAACTGTAAATCAAGCAAGTCATAAGCTTCCGTAAAATATATGAAGCTTGTGATCTGCTAGTGACTATTCGCCTTGAGAGGTAAGTGAGGTCTCCTTGGGATTTCAGGTTCCTCTCACTCGTCTACAAATCCCTTCACGCCCTGGCACCTCCCTACCTTTTTGACCTGCTTTCTCCCCAATCCACTACCCGCTGCCTCTGCTCGGCTGGCTCTGGCCTCCTGCTTGTTCCTCGTCTCCTCCGCTCCACCATCAGCATTCCCGCATTCAGCTATTACGCCCCGAAGCTTTGAAACTCTCTGCCCCAATCTCTCCAACTTGCCCTCTCCTCCTGTTTTAGATCATGACTGAAGACCTTCCACTTTGACCGTGCTAACGGTCACCTCCTACCTCTCCCCGGCTTGGTGTCCCGAGTCTTAGCTCTTGTCAATCATATAGGTTCTGCAATTAGGTAAGCAGGGTGCGTTCCTCTGGTAAGAGTATGCACTGCATTCCAGACACAGGGAAATTGCCATATCTAGTTGGCAGCTTATGTGAACTTCTCAGTCTGGATTGAATACACTTAAGTATGGCGATGGGTTTCTGTATGCGTCAGACACCAAAAATAAGCAGATAAATAAAATAAATTTATCACCTCTGGATTAATACTTGATAAATTATGAGAGAAATGCGAAAGTCATGAGGGAATTTGTCTGCATGTCTGTCTTCCTTTCTGAGCAATCTTTGCAATTTAAGGTGTTCAATATCTTTAACTGACACTGGATTTCACATTGCGTTCCAGTGAGCATACTCAACAAGATGTCAAGTGGTTTCTTCCACGTAATGTTCTTCCACAGAGATATTTCATCTCACTCTATCCTTCTCAAGAGAATGAACTCAAGTAAGGTTTGGGTTAAAGTTGGAAGCAGAGAGCGCCACTGTTTGCTAAGTGTTTAAGTGTATCAGCCTGGCTCAGTTGATAGCACGTTTGCTTTAGACTCAGAAGGATGTGACTTGAAGCCCCATGTCGGGACTTGGAACCCATTTAGGCCACGCTGATACTCCAATGGAGGGCTGGGTTGAGTGCTGCATTGCTGGAAGTGCCGTCCTTTGGAATAAGAAGTTAAACCGAGGTCCTGTCTACCTGTTCAGTTGGACGTTAAAGATCCCATGGCACTATTCGAAAAGAGAAGGGAGCTTCTCCCGGTGTCCTGGCCAATAATTCCCCAAATAAAATTGGTCATTCACTCCACGGCTGTTTGTGGGACATTGCTGTGCGCAAATTGGCTGCTGTGTTTGCCTACACAATACACACAGTCACTACATTTTACAGTATATTGTCTGAAGTGCTTTGAGGCATCTCAGTGACGTGATGAGGCCTTATATGAAGTGCAAAGGTTTTTAATAAGTCAATTGTTCACAGTTAGTTTGGACTCCATCCCCGAGTCCCACCGACTTGCTCTCTCCTTCACCTCTTTCAAGGTCCATCTCAAGACCTTTCCATTTGACCCCACCTTCGGTCATTTTTCCCCATCCCACCCCCAGCTCGATGCTAAGCCAGGACCTTCCAGCACCCTGGGACATCCTGCCGATGTGAAAGACACAATATAAATGTAATTCAGAGTCCCTTAGTGTAGTAGTTAGCATGTTCGCCTTGCAAGCGAGAGGACCTGGATTTGATTCCCGGGTGGGGCGAAACCTTAGGCAAGTTTTCTTAGTGCACACACCTCTGTTTACCTAGCAGTAAGTAGAAACCCGGTTGTTAGTCGATTGGCAGATTGCTTTCTGAGGTGTAATATTCCCTGAAAATAAATTGTCACTCAATCCGTGACTGTTGATGGGACACTTCTGTGTACAATTGGTTGCCGTATTTTGCCCACAAAATACTTCAATCCACTTTACAATATGTTCTGTGAGCGCCTTATCAATGGTACGTGGAAGAAACAACTTGACATCCCGTTCCCTTAACAATTACCAAGGGGAAGAAGACCCTACCTGGGTCTAGATTTACTGTATTTTCTCAATATTTCAGAGAGTGTAAGCTGTGTTGTTTATGAGAACGTGCTGTCATTTATTGATACAAGCACAAAATTCAGAGCTGCAGTGGGGCAAATGTTGGGAGAACAACTCCTAAATAGTGAAGGAGGGAGACTCTCAACTTAATGACTTTTTATTTGATGTAATTTTATTCAAAACATTGAACATCGTTTTCAGACAATTTGCACCAATATGACAACAACAACAACAACAAGAACTTGCACTTATATAGCAGCCTCCATGCACGGTAGCATCTCAGAGCGCTAAACAGTGGCGGAGCCCTGATTCCAAGCCAGGGGGAGGGGGTAGGTGGCCGTAAGCAGGGTCGAACAGGAAAGTTTTCAGGCGGGACTTGAAAGAGAGGAGAGAGGGGACAAGGGGGAGGGATTGAGGGAGAGTGTTCCAGATTTTGAGGTGTAGTGGCTGAAAGCACGACCTCTGATAGTGGGGCGGAGGGTGCGAGGGATGAGCAGGAGACCAGTGCCAGTCAAGCGGAGGTGCCGGGTAGTGGTTGGGGAGTGAGGAGGTCGGAAAGATAGGGAGGTGCCAAGGAGTGAATGGAATTGAACACGAGTGTGAGGACCTTTGAAGATCAGAAATCTCGTAAGCAAGCTACGGGAGGAGAAATTCCACTTGGATCTAGATTTACTCTTATTTATTTATGTAGCAAATCTGGCAAATTATTAAATGCAGCCTTACTTTTGAAGCCGGTTCTGTTTCTTTGAAAAACTTCGAAAACGCAGCTTGAAAGTTAAAACTCAAATCAACAACTTGCCAAATTCTAAATTGCTCCATAAATAGATTGAATCTAGACTTAGATAGAATTTCTCCCCAAACGTGCACAAGTGGACAGTCACATACACATTGAGGCACAGAAAGTCAGTGATAATTCTTTAAGTAAAAGTTTTTCCTTAAGAACATTACAATACATTCACGAAAATCTAACTGGAACCGTGTGATTACAGTGAACTTTATGGGTGTTATTTGACATTTGGTTCATACTTTAACCACATCCGCTTATTATATTTTTAAGAAATAAATAAGGAGCAGACTCAGAAAATCTTTAATATTTACAAACTATGCCTTGGGACATTTGAGCACAACTCCGAACAAGTGTAGGGGAGCGGAATACATTTAGTTGTTATCTGAAAGAAACACTTCAACAACTTTAACTTTTTCTCTGTTTTATGCACATCACATCATAAATAAAGACCATTACAATTTTGGTATGGGATTAGCCATGCAGAAAAATATAACACAACATGGCATACATTTTACAGAACACATGCTTTTGTGATAAGAAGCTGCTGCTAAATTACAGGAACGGTTTTCTGAACCAATATTTATAGTTGCAATGGGAGCAAATAGGTCATTTATATCTAACTATATAAGACATCCAATTAAACAATACAAAGTCAAAGCAAGTGTGGACTGACTGTGAGGAGCAAGGAGCAATCAGATCTTAACCAAGGCATCTGCTTTAGCGCTTTGTGGAAAAATCTCACCCGGGTATACACTTAATCTGTTTATGTCGCATTTCGGAATAATCAGAATTTGGCAGATTGTTGAATTTGATCTTAAAACTGTTTGTGAAATCCTTTAGCATATTGATTGGTGCACTTGCCTTGTGGAGTCCCGTAGCTCAGTGGTTAGAGCACTCGCTTCGCAAGCGAGAGACCTGGGTTCGATTCCCAGCAGGGCCAAATAATAAACCCTCAAGAAAAATAAACAATAATAAATTGGTCACTCAATCCACGACTGTTTGTGGGACACTGCTGTGTGCAATTGGCTGCCGCGTTTCGCCCACAAATATACAGTCAATTCACTTTACAGCATATTCTGTGAAGCGCTTTGAAACGTCTAGAAGACGTGAAAAGCGCTATATCAAATGCAAGGATTATTATTATTATTAAATGAAAGGATCCGGGTTCAATTCCCAGGCAGGACAAAACCTTAGGCAAGTTTCCTTACTCCACATGCCTCTGTTTAGCGAGCAGTAAGTAGGAACCCAGTTGTTATTCAATTGGCAGATTGAATTTCAGGGATAATGATCCCTCCAATAAAACAAAAAACACTGATTTGTTTGAGTGATTAAGCAGTTCACTCATTCCACGACTGTTTGCTGTGCGCAATTGGCTGCGGCATTTCACCCCCCAAAAAATACACAGTCACTCCACTTTCCATTATACCTTGTGAAGCGCTTTGAAGCGTCTCAACGACGTGATAAGGTGCTGTATCAAATGTAAGGATCATTATTATCTTTGTCAAAACTGCATTCGGATTGGTATTTCTCCTCACAAACTGGCAGGCCTTGCTAACGGCTCTTTACTTGAGCTGAATGCAGTCAACCTCTTCCGACATGGGCACGGCGGTTGTTTTGACATCCTGGTCCTGGGTGGATTTACTCACTGCATAGGTGGACTTCCATCTCATCAGCATAATCTTCTTGAAGTACTTCATGGTGTTATTCTTGACCATCACGAAGAACACGGTGTTGATCACGCTGTTGGTCATGGCGATGCACTCCACCATGTAAAAGACTGTCAGGTAATGTTTCTCCTTCAAGACGAGCGTGGGGTAAAAATCCCGGACCACCGCGAATCCGTAGTAAGGTGCCCAGCAGATGATGTACACGGTCAATATGCCCACGAGCAATAGCACCGTCTTCCTGCGGCATCTCAGTCTCTTCCGGATCTGATCAGTCTGAAAGCCCGGCACGCTCTTGAACCACAGCTCCCTGGAGATCTGAGCATAGCACAGACACATGGTCACCACGGGACCCACGAACTGCAGGATGAGGATGAAGAGGAAGTAGGATTTGTAGGACATTTGCTGGTCGGCTGGCCAGATCTGACCACAGAAGATCTTGTGCTGGCCTTCGATGTAAGGGATGATGGTCTCGGTGGTGAAGTAGGCGGACGGGATGGCCACGAGCAGGGAGATGACCCACACCACACAATGAGCACACAGGCTGTCTGGTATTTAATGCGAGGTTTCAGAGGGTGCACAATGGCCAGGTACCTGCCAGCAGGGGAAAACAGAACAAACATCAATTCCTTTCCATTGGGTGGCTAATTTTCAAGTAAGATGGTTCAAACCTGACCCAGGTCAAACCACAGTGTGTCAGCCTGACTTAGTTGGTAAGCACTCTCACCTCTTCGTCAGAAAGCTGTGGGTTCAAGCCCCAATGTCAGGTCTTGGAACCCATATCGTCTCTGCTGGCTGACACTCCCAACGCAATACTGGGGGTGCATTACATGGTCAGAGGTGCCATCCTTTGGATGAGATGTTAAACCCAGGTCCAGTTTGCCTGTCCCAGATGGATGTTAACGATCCCGTGGCAATTATTCGAAAAGGAAAGGGGATTTCTTCCATTGTCCTTGGGCAATCCCAAATACATTTGGTCACTCACGTCATGGCTGTTTGTGGAACACAGCTGAGTGCATGCTAGCTGCTACATTTGCCCACAACAAACAGTCACTACACTTTACAGTAAACCCTGTGAAGCGCTTTCAGACATCTCGATGACGAGATGAGGCACTATATCAAATACAAGGATGATGATGATTATTATTAGGAGCGACTACATTATGACCCATTATTTGTTTGTTTTTTAAATGTGACTTTGATGTGTGGGACTTCACAAAAAATTAAGATGTCGGCTTAAACATGGGTTTAAATAACCGCATGGGTACATTTAAACAGGGTAATTTAAGCTGTGCCCCTCCATATAAAGGTTACTCTTTAACATTTCCCTGACGATGGCAGCTCTCGCTAAGGGAAGTTGTTCACAGGGCTGAATGGACCGATGCTCATCTCCTATCTGAACCTGCTGCCTTGTATGTGCTGCACTATTTATTTTAATCATTCTTAATATTTCAGACACAATAAGCACATTACATACAAGCTTGGTGCTGCTAAAATAGGTTACACAGAGCTGTATAGATAGAGTGATATGGTAAGAAAACCAACCAATCATTACAACTAAGTCTGTGCTGGTATTTATACTTACTGCTCATTAGACAGAGGCCTGCGGAGTAAAGAAACTTGCCTAAGGTTTCTCCCAACCTGGGAATCGAACCAGGTACTCTCGCTTGCGAGGCGAACGTGCTAACCACTACACTACGAGACTCCACACTGTATATGTGATGAAAGTCCTTTTTACTCACCGATCCACTGCGATGGCGAGGAGCGCATTGGTGGATACGTAGAGGGAGACGGTCCTGAGGTAGTTGACGGAGGCACAGAGCGTGTGACCGTGCAGCCAGGACAGCTGTTTGACCACGTAGTAATCCATCTCAAAGGGGCAGCAGACAACTGCCACCAGGAAATCTGAGATGGCCAGGTTGGCGATCAGCAGGTTGGTCAGGTTACGTAATTTCTTGTAGCGGGCCAGTGTGGCGATGAAGATGAGGTTGCCCACTCCACACACCAGCATGATGCACGCCAGGGCCACCCCGATCACTGCCCTGGCAGCGCAGAAAGTCCTGTCCGCCGTGAAGTCCTGCCTCTCATAGCCCGAGAAGTCATAGTCCTCGCAGCTCAGGTTGTAGGGTAAAGAGAGATTCCTCACGTCCACCTGGTTGTGGTAAACATTGCTCAGGTCACCGCAGAGACTGCTCATGGCTTCTCCTCCACTCCCGTTCCTGTTCCACACGTCTCACGAGTCGAAAGGACTTTTTATTGGCACTCCCCCTCCCTTTCCCTTTGCTCTTCCTCCACAGTGGGAATGTTTGGGAAGACCGCTCGCTGGGAGCCGCAGTCCGTCAGGCCTAGCCCGTTTGACGCCAGATCATCTCCGATTCCCAGTGATTTGTTCAAAGAAAATCTCCTGCGAATCTTAATGAGCAACACAAACACACACAAACGAAAAGAGCGTTGATAACAATAAGGACGTGCACCACAAGAATCACAAGAACAACGCTTTAGAAGGACGGGGTAGGACGCCGAGCGGGGGGGCGTGGGGTGAGGTGATTGTAGCCTTGTTTTAAGATCATAATAACCTTCGCATCCAATGTTGGGCCTTTAATGTTGGGAAGGCGTCTCAAAGCTCTCTGCACGATTTACTATGAAGTGTTGTAACTTTGACGTTTGTAGGTGAACTAGGCATGCAATTTGAAACAATAATGTCCCACTGACAGTCATGAAGTGAATGACTTATTGTATTTGGGGGATTGTTGGCCGGGAAGCTGGAAGGTGGGACTTAGAGACAGTAGGAGAGGGGGCAAGAGAGAGGTTAGAGGAAGGGCATTCCAGAGGATAGGGGCTGAGGAACTGAATGAAAACTAGAAATAATAAGCTTAGATCCAAACACCTCCTATTGACCTTTGCACATTGTGGAGATACTTATTCTTTTTTTCCAAAGACTGTCAATGGAATTCATCCCAATCAATAATATCTGTCCTATTATAATAGCAATAGTTTCATATAATGCCTTCACACGTCAGCAAAATGCTTCAAAACGCTTAACAGAACTCTTACAGCAACAACTTGCGTTTATAAAGTACCCTTCACGCAGGGAAGTGTCCCAGACCGCACATGTAGACACCGTATTTGGTAGACGAATGGGGCTGCCAATTTGTACGCAGGAATGCCCCACAAACAGCCATAAAGTGAGTGATTGATTTTATTTGGGGACTTTTGAATTGTGCCACGGGATCGTTAGTATCCACACCTGAATAGGCAGGCGGGACCTTGGTTTAACATCTCATCTGGAGGAATTTTGCTGGTTAAATTAGGTCACACTCCAGTGCAGTGCTGGCAGGTTGGGGAGTGAGGAGGAGCGCTGCATTGTTGGAGGTCTGACAACACAGGGCTGCCCTCCCCCAGTACTCTCCTGGAATATGACTAAATTAACCAGCGCAGTGCCTACTTTAGCTTCAACAATACTGGTTGGAACAAACCACAAATAGGACCACATTCGCCTACAGGTGCACAAGTCATTGCACTTCACGGTAAAATCCCATGGGGAGCTTCGAGACAGTCGGGTGACACGATAAGGCGCTACATCAAATGCAACAGAGCTTTCGCTTTGCTTTGGACACCCTTACGGGTGGTTTTCGGATGGTGACAGGTTTCTGCGTGTGTCAGACCAAAACAGAAATTAAACCAACAATAATTTTTGGAAAAATAATATTGCTTGGCCAGTTAAACTTCGGGGCACACACACACAAACACACACACATAAACCATCCACATTGACCTAATCAAAGTCCTGTGTGTTATTGCTAACACACAGTGATGCTGTGGAGCATTTAATGCTGTGCTATTGTAAGCAGTTGTCACACTTGACTTAATTTTACAGTGCATTCCACGAAGCGCTGAAAATAGTATTAACAGTGATGGTACAAAACAAAACGTCTCTTCTTCTGGTTCACTGATTTTTTTGGAGATGGCTTAAATACATATATGTATATTTGTATATTACAAACAAATCGCTGTGAACATTGAGTAAGTAGCAATACATACTCAATGTCCAAGTAATAATAATAATAATAATAATAATACAAAACGTGCCTTTTCATTGACTGGTAAGGCTGATTGACTCTTTTTTGCGATACCTTAAATAAATGTACAGTATATATATTACATATATATATTGCAATCTTACAAAAAAAATCGCTGTGAACATTGAGCAAGTAGCAATGGGAACTACAAGTGCAGACAGAGCAGCTTTTGTTGTTGGAATACAGCTACAGGTATAAAAAGAGGGGGGGACGCAAGTCAAAGTAATTTGCTATTTTGCATGTGTATGTGTGTGTGTATTTTGCATGTGTATGTGTGTGTATTTTGCATGTGTATGTGTGTGTATTTTGTATGTGTGTATGTATGTATGTATGTATGTATGTGTGTGTGTGTATTCTGTTTGTGTGTTTGTGTGTGTGTGTATGTGTGTGTGTATTTTGTATGTGTGTGTGATTTGTATGTGTTTGTGTGTGTGTATGTGTGTGTGTGGATGTGTGTGTATATGTGTGTGTGTGTTTGTGCATGTGTGTGTGTATATGTGTGTGTGTGTTTGTGCATGTGTGTGTATGTGTGTGTGTATATGTGTGTGTGTGTTTGTGCATGTGTGTGTGTGTATGTATGTGCATGTGTGTGTATGTGTGTGTGTGTGTGGATGTATGTGTGTGTATGTGTGTGTAGTTGCTGGTTTGCTGTGAAGTTTTAAGGGCTTGAGTTTACTCACATCTTGAGGTGCTGCCCAGCCCCTCAGTGCTTGTTCCCTGTGTTAAACTGGGTCTGTGGTCCCCGACTGATGCTGAGCTGAGAGCTGTGGAGAGCCACTAACCAGCTCTGGACTCACCGTCTGTCCCCATCCAACAGCAAATATCATTGCAGCAACTCCTCTGACGCTATCACCCCTCCCTCCCTCCCTTCTCTCCCTCCCTCCTTCCCTTCTTCTCCCTCCCTTCTCTCCCTCACTCCCTGCCCAGCAATAGAAACGTGGCCACTCACACACCTGATCCCCTTCTCAGCAGATGTTTCAGTGCAACTTCATAGTGCATAGACCTCCACTGCAGTGCTGGGGTGGGTTGGGGGTGGGGGGTGGGTTGCAGTGTTGGGGATGGCATCTTTCGGATAAGACGTTAAACCGAAGTCCCCTGTTCGGGCGAACCTTAATGATTCCCGTGACGTTATTCGAAAAAAGGAGGGGGTTTCTCTGTCCGTCCCCGGGATCCTGGTCAACAATCCCCTCTCCCCCCACCCCCCGAACAAAATGCTTCACTCACTCACTCACTCCGCGGAGGTTCGCAGGACGGTGCCACGTGTAACCGGCTGCCACGTTTCACCAACACACTACACAGTCAATAATAATATTAATAATAATCCTTGCATTTGATATAGCGCTTTTTCACGTCTTCTCGACGTCTCAAAGCGCTTCACAGAATATGCTGTAAAGTGAATTGACCCTATATTTGTGGGCGAAACGCGGCAGCCAATTGCGCACAGCAGCGTCCCACAAACAGTCGTGGATTGAAAATGACCAATTTATTATTGTTTTGTGTTTCGGAGGGATTATTATTAGGCGTGTGGAGTAAGGAAACTTGCCCAAGGTTTCGCCCTCTGCCGGGAATTGAACTCAGGTGTCTCGCTTGCAAGGTGAGTGCTCTAACCACTGAGCTACAGGACTCCAATCCACTGTGAAGCTTTTTGAAACATCTCAACGTCGTGATAAGGCGCCTTACCAAATGCAAGGATGATTATTATTATTTATAAGAAAACGCTAAGCACTTTCTTGCAGGCTGCACTTATGTAAACTCATGATAGCTTGTTACCACTGCTGCCACCCCCCACCCCCCCCCAAAACACGTACACACAAACACATAGACATTTATGATCAGCGGAATTAGAAACAAATAAGGAATCTTCATGATATTTAAGGCATGCTTGCTTGACCGGTAAAGATGTTTAACTTGTTTTGTAGTGTTCTTTCAGAGGGATAGAGAGAAGATGCAGTAAACTCCTGATAACTTGTCACTTCAAGGGAAAAGGCTCAGTCGTAAGTTACCTGGAGTGGCGAGTTAGGCATTAAGATCAGCAAAGGCGCTGTTAATTTCTCAACTCAAAGACTGTTTTGTGTTGTGTTCAGATTTATTTGTGTTGGACTCCTTTAGGCTACAATTCAAAAATCTATTTGGCTTTCCTTTAGAAAGGGAGGTTTAAATAGTCACCTTCCCTTTCTTCCTTGCTCGCACATCCAATCCCACAACTGTAGTCCCATAGCGTAGTGGTTAGAGCTCTCGCCTCGCAAACAAAAGGACCTGGGTTCGATTCCCAGGCAGGGTGTTACCTCAGGCAAGTTATCTTACTCCATGTGGAGTATCTAGCAGTAAGTAGGATTGTTTGTCAATTGGTGGATCGCTTTTCCAGGGGTCAAAAAAATTTTATTGAAACCAAAAGTTAATTAATAAAATAATTTGGTCACTGCTTGTGGGACACTGCTGTGCACGATTGGCTGTTATGTTTTGCCCCCAAAATATACGGTCACTACACTTGAGACTTTGCAATGATATGATAAGGCACAATATCAATTGCAAGGATTATTATTCTTATTATAAATGGACATCCTTAAAGAAAAATTCTGCAAGGCATGCAGGGAACAAGCATGTATCCAAATGCAGCAGAGCAAATTAAACATGAACAAGCCAAATGTTTCAATAGGGAAATAATAAAAAACAGAGATGAAGGGGGAATAAAAGGAAGATTGACAAAGGTTGTTGGGTGAAAAGAGAGGGTGAATATTGGGCTGAATACAAAACTGAACTGAAAGAGGTTTGAAAAAAAGGAATTTAACAGCAGCAAAAGAGAAGTGCAAGGAGACATAGCAAGAAATGCCATATAATTCTGTCAATATTATATTAACAGGAGGGCAGTCAGAAAAGACATTAAAACCAAAGGGATTCAAAGGGGGTGGAACAGGAGATAGCAAACCAATTTCCTGGAAGGTTTTCACATTGTTTGAGGTCCAGGACTTTAACATAAATGAGGCTGGAGTTCTAGAGGTTAGATGCGCCCTCCACATGCACTTTACGACATATCCTGCGAAGCACTTTGAGAACACGCTCCCAAAGTGAAAGGCACGTATATCAAATGTAAGGATTTTTATTATTTTAGATAGGTACT